CAAGGCATCTTAAAAATTCCTGCCAAACCGCGCGGGCGTAGGTTGGATTCTTGTCTTCTTGTTCTATTGAGTGGGTTCTGTACCTTGAAAGTGGGTAGGAGGACTTGGCGGCCAGAGACTGCTTCTAAAAACTGAGGACATTTGACAGGTCCTTTCTCAGCCTCGACGCTCTGGGGGAGGGGCGAGGTTTGGGCCTTTCAACGATAAGCACCGACAGAACTGCGCTCATCTTCTCACGACCCTCTACACAGACTCAATATTTTCAAGGTAGGCCTGTCTTTAAAGAAGACATATGCAAAATGAGAAAAAGCAATAAAAAACGCTGCCCAAAGCTTTTAACTACCTTATAATTGTGATATTACCCGAGATAAGTTTAAAAAGTGAACAAACCCCTAACCCTCTCTGCGGTGCCTGTTCGTCATCTTTGAAAGATGAATAATAGTAGCTATCCTGTAGGGTTGCTGTGAGCTTTAGACGAGGTAATGTATGTAAAAAGGGCTTAGAATTGCATAGTAAGCGCTATACATTTGTTACTGCTAACAGTAGATGTGGAATCTAAATAAATTAAGGGACATTAACTATTGAATTGGAATTTTCACTGTGTCCCATGTAACATTGTTTGCTAAACACAGTTTAGTGGAAAAATTATACGTGTCTTTTACTGTGAGTCGTTTCCCTGACATAGTCTCGAATGTACTTTTCGTAATAAACGTGCTAGTGTACGTAATATTAGCTTATTTAAAAGGTGCAAAATAGTTTCAAAACCACTAATGAATGAAGGTATCGCCGAGAAATGGTGTTTTCCCTTCTCAGCAGACTGGGACTTTGGTCCGGTTTGTTGCAGCCTCCGGGACTGGGGGCGCCGGGTCTCAGAGAAAGGGAGGGAGGGAGGAAGTAGGGGACCCGTCAGCTAGGTGACAAAGCACGGAGTCGCCGTCTGCACCCTAGCCCGGGGCGACGGTTTCCGCGATCGAAAAGCTGCTTACAGTCGCCGTAACCGCGAGGAAAACAGACGGGGGCGCCAAACGACAGCAATAAAGGCATCCACAGACTTCCGCCCAGGCCGCGCCTCCGCCACCGCCCAATCCCCCGCCGCGGACCACGGACGGCCTCAAACTGGCCGGAGCTGGACCGGGGTGCCCCATTCAATCCGGAACCGGCCCTGGAGCAAGGCGGAGACTGAGAGGCGGTTTCCTTCCCGGCCCCCTGGGGCAGCGACCCCCACCCCCACCCCCAGCTGCGTGCGGCCTGCAAGGGGCAGCGGAGCAGGGCTCCCGGTCTGGGGAGCCGGGGGGAGGGGGGGGGAGAGGAAAGGGGGGCGAGGGGCGTCCTCTGGGCTGGGCTCCGACCTCGCTAGTGGCCGGAAGGCGAGGTCGCAGCCGGGTGGCATATGGGACCTGGGGGAAGCCGACGCCAGGTCAAGTTGTCACCTTGGTTCCAGGCGCCCACTCACTCGACCTCCCCCGCCCCCACCACCACCACCCCGCCCGCGTGCCTACCAAGCTTTCTGTTCTCACCTTGGGGGAAATTTTCGTTTACTACCTTCAGGAGGTGGAATTGATTTTCGAAGCAAAGCGCGCGTTGTTGAAATAAGTTGGCGCCGAGGGGAACGGGAGGGAAACTTTTGGCATTGACTATATGTGTGTGTGTACATGTATATAAATTATACTTTACACCTCGCCTCCCCTTACATTCCTGACGCGCCCCCAAAGGGTCCAAGGTTAAAAGGAAAGTGCCAACAGAGCGATAGGCAAATAGATGCCGGGTTTGCCACTAACGCACCCGGGTGTGCTGGGTGTGGCAGGAGGGGGAGGGAGGGGCCCCGATAGGGGTCCGGGTTGGCGCCGGGGCGGGAATGCAGGACCCACGCCCAGAGCCCAGATTCCCAGGGTCTCGTGGTTGCTTCGGCAGCTCTCGGGCTGACCTTGGTGTCCCGTCCCTGTCCTCTCCTGTGCCCTCCCGCAGATCTCTCCCCTTGGGCCTCCTGGCTGGTGTGCACAGCGCATCTCAGGTCCGGGTAGGGTGGGGCGGAAGCGCGGGAGGAGACGCAGAGCGGCCTTGAGAGAAGATTGATCATCGTTAAAATGGTTGCCACCGGCGTCATTATGACCATCAACGTTATCGCCCAGAGATTCAGCTGCCAAGCTGAGGCGGCCAGGAGCAGCAGCAAAGCTAGTGGGCGATTCTCCACCCCCGTCTCAGAGCCGGGAATACCCAGGGCCACAGGTAAGGTAAGGGGATGGGGTGGGGGGAAGACGGAAAGAAGGAAGAAGAGCAAGGTGGGGAAGGGAGGGCAGCGAGGTGGTCGGGGGAGGAGGCAGAATCTCCACTTTCCCCCTTTGGTTTCGAAATCCGGCGACTTCGCCACAAATAATTCGATTTGAGAAGGGAGGCGAAAAGCCGGCAACGTAAAAAGTGGATTTGGGGCAGCCCATACGGCTCTCTAAATCGCGACTGTGTTTAAAGTTCGCTGTCGAATTCTGCTATCAAATCATCCAGTCGAGTTCATTTCCCCCAGGGAAAATGCGTAGGCAAGAAGACTATCCATCAACAGGATTATAAAAGTAAAAAACCCGGGACTTCGAGTTCAGAACTCACTCTGCAAAAGATATTAGAAAATCAGAGAGGACCTAATGATTTCCGTTTGGATGCGCCGGCCCAACGCATGTCCCCAGCCACGCAGCACGAAAGTGCTTTTAAAACTCGAGGAGATATTTCCTTTTCCTCTTTTTCTTCTTCTCTCTCTTTCTTTCTTTCTCTCTCTCTTTGTGCTGAGGTGGGAGGAGAAGTAGGGAGGGAGAGAACTCAGAGTATTATTTGTTAAATAAAATACATATATGGTTCTGAAATCCGAAAGATAAGTAATCTAGAGCGGAACGCAAGGTCTCCTTACGCAACATTTCCTGCATCCTCCCCCTTGTCCTCCCCCCTCTCACGCCCCCAGCTTGTAAATGTTGTTTTTTTTTTTTTTTTAAATCCTTCCCAACGATCTACTCGGGAAACTCAAAGCATTATCTATTATTTAACACGTATCTGTGTCCGAGGAAAGATGAGGAAGGCGCTGCATGATTAGGACCTAAGGGGCAACCTAGCAAACTGAGAGCGTAATGATGCCCCTAAATGAAGGGGGAAATGTGCCGCGGCGCGCTCTATTAATCAGACTGTCAATTTCACCCCCGAGGCCAAACCCCTGGGCGAGCAGAGCTGGCTCCGAGCGGGCAAAGGACCGGAGCCTTTCTCCTCACTTCTTGTCTCTTCTCGCCTCCTACCTGGATCTATTTGTCTACTCCGAAGCCGCCTTCATTACCCACTGACAGGCGCGTGTATTTATTTGCTTATAAACCTGTTACAATAAATGATTATTCGAACGGCGTCATTCGTACCTTAATGACGAGCGGGCGCTACTTTTTGATGAATGACATCTCGGGCTCGGAAGGATGTATGGGTCATTTTGACCAGTCATTCCCTCGCTCTGGCATCCCACAATTTTTCCGCCTCCCTCCAAAAGAGATAATAATATTTAGAGGCGCTTGCTGGGGCTGAATGAGAATTAGCCCTAGGCGCAGCCCATCATTAGGACGGGACAGCCAGGCCACTGTGACATTTTTTAGAAAGCTGTGAGATGATGGAAAGGATACGAAAAGAGATGATTCTGATGGAGAGAGGGCTGCACAGCCCCACGGCCGGCAAGAGGTTCTCCAGTTTGTCTGACTCGGCTGGCAACGCTGTGTTGGAGGCCCTGGAAAATTCGCAGCACCCGGCTCGCCTCAGCCCGCGCCTGCCGTCCGCCCCCCTGCATGGCGCTCTAGGAGACCTCCCCGCCAAGGGCAAGTTCGAAATAGACACTTTATTCAACCTGCAGCACCCGGGCAGCGAAAGCACCGTCTCCTCCGAAATCGCCTCCGCCTCCGAGAGCCGCAAGAAGCCGGGCCATTATTCAGAGACTGCCGCCGAGGCCGACATGAGCAGCGACGTGGAGGTGGGCTGCTCGGCGCTGCGCTCCCCCGGCGGCCTCGGTGCCACGCAGCTCAAGGAAAACAATGGCAAAGGTAACCGCGCGCCGCCCGCGCCGGCGCCCTCTCCCACCCCATCCTCCCAGCTCCTCCCCGACCCCAGCCGGCCTTCGTGGTCCCTTTGCTCCTCTCTGGCCCTCTGCACGCGAGCTGCCTGGAGCTAGCTCCAGCAGGGGTGGGACGATGCTGGGGACCTTGCCCTCCGGCTCTGCTCCTTCGGCCTCCTAGCGAGGCGCAGGCCTGGGGCGCTGAGCCCGCCCGCCCGCTCCCGCTCCTGAGCTGGAGAAAATGTGTCCGCACACGGGTCCAAAAGCCGGAGCCAGTCGAGCGACCCTGGGCCGGCGGCTGAGCCACGCTCGGGGAAGGGTGCACTGGGCAGCTGCTCCGAACTCCTCTGCCCACTGCCTCGACGGCCAGGTGGAAGGGGCATTCTTTTGCGTAAACCGAAGGGAGTTTCGCTGGGCACCTCTGCTGGACCAGCTTGGGTCAGCGGGAGAGAAAGAGATGAAAAGTAGATTCCACGCCGTAATGGCTCGTTTGAGCTACTGCTGTTTTACTAACTTTAAAATAATTTTAACCAAACCCAAAAGATTGTCAATAAAAGGTTAAAGGCCGTGCAGAAAACTGCCCCGCCGTCTCCAGACCACTGCAAACCCAGAACTTCCCAAACTGCGCCCAGAGGTAGGCATTTTCCCTTGGCCAATTTCCTCCTGAGTTCAAATTTTCTAATTGTTAAAAGAAAAAAAAACCCTCTAATTCCGTTCGTATTATTTGGTTATGAAAGGCCCCAAACTTTATTGATTCCATTAACGGCAGCAATTTGTAAGCATGACAGACTCCATCAATTCCAGCAGCGTCTCGCTTTTCGGTCGCAGCTTCCGCCACCCGCGCGCAGCCCCCGCGCGGGGCTCCAGGTCCTACAGCTACTCATGCGCTGTCGGCCGTTTCTTTGCCAGGGTACGCGGAGAGCGGCTCGGCCGCAGGCACCACGACGTCGGCGTCGGGCTCGGGCCTCGGCAGCCTGCATGGAGGCGGCGGCGGCAGCGGCGGGGGAGCGGCGCTGGGAGGCTCTGGCTCCGGCGCGGATCAGGTGCGGCGCTACCGCACAGCGTTCACCCGCGAGCAGATCGCGCGCCTGGAGAAGGAGTTCTACCGGGAGAACTACGTGTCGCGGCCCCGCAGGTGCGAGCTGGCCGCCGCGCTCAACCTGCCGGAAACCACCATCAAGGTATCGATTCCAGAGGGCGCCTGCTCAGGCCTCCCCGGGGGCGTCTGGGTTGATTTTTGTTTCTTTTCCCCTTTCTCCTTTCTGGGTGGGTAGATTTAGCTGAGCGCCTGGAGACTCGAGGGGGATGGTCACAAAAGGAGTTGACTTATTTATTTCTCGGCTGCCGAATCCGAAAGGTTGGCCGGCCTGGCTGACCTGGGAAGGCCGCGGAATGGCGGTGCCTCTGCCACAAACGCTCGCCTCGGCTCGATTCTGCCCAGCGCCTGCCCAGGTGCCCTCTGCCCATACCCATGGCCCCACTTCCCCCTCGGCGGCAAAGTCGGCTGACTTCGTTCCTCTAGCAGGAACCAGAGGTGAAACTTTTCATTTGCTCTTGATCTTGGAGATTTATTTTCCACATAAATCGTTGAAACATGGAGAAAAGGATACTGCTTTTTTTTTTTCTTTTTTTAATCGATTGGGTAGAGAAAGTAGTTTCCTAAACATTTTTATCTTGGGCAACGGGGGGAAAGGCAACCGCTTGGAGTAGGGGAAACACAGTGAAATTGTCCTTATTGTCATTAGGTGACTAATTTTATTATACACCAGGCTGAGATAGCCAGGAGTTTGGGCGCCTTCGTGAACACTTCACGGGAGATTCACATTCTAGAAAAAGAGAGAAGAAACTACACGGGGTAGGGCAGGGTTGTAGAAGCCTCTCTTCGGTTTGATCGGGCTCTTTCTTTTAGGGTCATGACGAATGATGTCTTTATCAGATACTGTGTTGGGAGGGGTAGAAAAGTCGCCTTCCCAGTGTAAGGGGACAGTGCTCCCGCTATTCATTTAAGGCAAACGCTTCTAACAAAATCATTTCTTCAATCTAAAAATCGGATCCGTGCCCCTAGGGGCAGGCCCTTACAGCTCCGAGGGCTCAAGACCTCACGTACCCACCCCTCAGAAAAGCTGCTGCGGCGGTCTCTCTTCAAAGGCTGCCCAGAATCCCGGTACAAATCCCAGGACTGAGAGAGGGTGCTCAGCGAGGTCGGGCACCCATGGGCGGCGGGTGGCGGGAGGGAGAGGAAAGGCTGGGCGAGGACGAGAAAAAGCAACAAGCAAGAAGTAAAGGAGCAGGAACCCCAGGAGCCGCAGCAGTCAGACACACGGGAGAAAACTTTGCGCTCAGGGGGCTGTGCCCACGCCGGTCCACACTGCCGTCCACACTGTCCCAGCTGAGCCAGCGGAGGGGACTTGGGGCAAGGCCCAGGCGGAGGGGAGTAGGCCAGGTCACCCAGAGGCCCGGGAGGGGCAGGAAGGCCTGGGGCGGGACTGGGGCCACGAGGCGCTCCTTAACCCGGACCGCGCGCGGCTCTCCCCGCAGGTGTGGTTCCAGAACCGGCGCATGAAGGACAAGCGGCAGCGCCTGGCCATGTCCTGGCCCCACCCGGCCGACCCCAGCTTCTACACCTACATGATGACGCACGCGGCCGCCACCGGGAGCCTGCCCTATCCCTTCCACTCGCACGTGCCGCTGCATTACTACCCGCACGTGGGTGTCACGGCGGCGGCCGCAGCGGCCGCGGCCTCTGGCGCCGCCGCCTCGTCGCCCTTCGCCACTTCCATCCGCCCGCTGGACACCTTTCGAGCCCTCTCGCACCCCTACTCGCGGCCCGAGCTGCTGTGCAGCTTTCGCCACCCGGGCCTCTACCAGGCGCCCGCGGCCGCCGCGGGGCTCAACAGTGCGGCCTCG